TGTATTGAAATCAATTTAACACAATTTAAAAAAACAAATATTATTTTTATATTTTTTATAAATTTATACTATATAGGACAATAGGAATTTTATATTTCAAATTTTTAAACTGAAAAGTTATGTGGAATAGTCCAATATAAYATACGAGCAGAACAACATTTTGAAGAGAATCCATGAGCAATGCTACTTTGCTTATCTATATTTTAAAAACATATAACGCTTCCTATGTTCAATTTTTATACATCTTAAGCGTGTACTAAAGAATATGCTGCTTTAAATTTTAAAATTAAAAAAAAAAATTGTTATTCCAAAACTTAAAAAAAAAACACCTATTTAAAAATAAAGATAATTTGTAAAATTTGAGTTATTTTTTTTCCAAATAGTTTTCAAAATTGGTTATGTTCTTCAATAACAAAAATCACTTGATTTATCAACAATTTTATTTAAAAACCAAAGCAGAATATCAAATTAATATTAAAAACAAAACCATATGATTTTAACAATTTTCTTGAGGTTAATATTGTAAATAATATCTGCCACTTAATTGTAACTTAATGTTACCTGTTGTAGTTGTATAGGTAGTGGAACAATATTGGAAACATTCACACTTTCTTCAAAACCAAAATCAATAAAAATTGTTTCATAAGTTTTTTCATCAGTTTTTTCAATAATCTTTGCTCGATAAAAACATCCGTCAGCTGAACTTTTAGCGCCTACGATTTCATTTAATTCTGGAGATTTATTCTCGTAACCATTTCCTATAGTTAAATATGATATAATATTAAGCAAAATAGTAAACAAAAATATTTCATAGGATAAAATACTGACCCAAAGTACAATAATTATTGACGCTTTTAATAAGATTTTCAAATTCAACATTATTATCTTCAAGTTTACGGACAAAAATATTATGCAAATCAATATATGCCGTAATAAAAACAATGTCTCCATTTTTCAATTTATTAGTTTCATCACTTAACATAGGATCTCTAACAATAGCTTCAGATGCTTTAGGTGTGTCTCGTAATTCCGTAAGTTCTACTTCTAACAAATATATTATATTTTAAATACCATGTACAAAAAAAACATGGCAAAATTGAAACATGAAACAATAAAAAAAATRAATTTTAAWTGCTCATAATATTTATTTAGTTATAGTATTTTATAATTCACTCAATATATCACATACAAAATAAAAAATAAATATATATAAAT